AATTGCCACTATTTGAAAGTGAAAGTAAAATGCGCGCGCCGCTTTTACAAGCTATTTAAAAGCGAAGGAAAGCGAGGAAAAGAGGGAACGCCCCCGCGGTGATACCGGTATTACCGGTGTTGTCACACGTCAGTTAACTGGTGGGAAAATTTCCTCACCGTCACAACCCTACTTTCCAGCAGGAAATCCAGATGTGAACTTTCTCCCTCCAAACTCTGGAAATGACTTTATCTTCTCTTTTCTTATGAGTGGTAGACTTTTAGTGGATTCCACAAAGAGAAACAGGCATCATTCAAAGCGCTTTTCAAAACGAAGCTTAACAAGGCAGTAAAAAGCCCTTCTGACTGACATTCGATGACAACATCCCAAGCCTGGACTGCGTCTTGATGTGCTTTTGTTGGACGTCAGCATAGAAATGGCTGAGACATGCACAGCTAATGGTCCATAGGCCTGTTACAGAGATCTAGTCCTTGAAAGAACATAAAGGATTGTGTCTATGTCTCAAGTGTCTGTCTGTGTTTATAGAAATGTGACCTAAAGTGCGGACAAGCTTTTCTCCAAGTGCTTTTTAACTCATTCTTTCTCTCAGCACTTCAAAAAATTAGACATTCTTAAAACTTAAAATAATGAAGACAACATTTTTGTATGTCTCGTTTAATTATTTTATAAATGTTAGATTTATTTTTCTATTTAATTCAATTTATTATTTGTTTTTATAATAGTTTTACATAATGTTATAGACTTTTATATTGAATTATAATAAATATTTTTGTATTTATTTTTATATTATTTTCTATAAAAATTATATTTAAAGGACAACTTTCTTGATTTTCAACCGACTTTGTATTATTTTTTTATGATATTAACCAGCTTTGTATTATTAAAATGTTGGTAGTATATGTAAACTCTTTATTCATGTTACCCAGATATTTCTGTTTATTTGTTAGCAAAAGTCAGCCGGATGACAAAAAAATGCATTATGTGTCATCCTACAGATTTTTGCTTACAAATTTTGAGGATCGGCAAAGTTGTCTTCAAATTATTATTAATTTGTTTTTAAATATTATTTTCTACAATTTTATATTTAATTAGAATCAGTATTATTTATATATTTATTTTCTAGGCCTATAATTTTATTTAATTATAATCATTGTTATTTATATAATTTTATATTTACTTTTTTGTATTTTAAGTAAAGTCATCATGTAAACATTGATCCTTTAATCATCCAAATGACATAGTGTACATGTGCATGTGTGCTTGTTTACAGCATTTGTACTGTCTTTTAGTCATACTTTTCTCAGTAACTGCTTCGGATGTCCTTTCCTGAGCCCTGAGGTGCCGGAGTCTGTCCTAATTCAGGCGCAGTGGAGGGAGACTGGGACAAAGGCTCCTATGTGCATGTTCTGGATGGAACTTCAACTCTGAAGCTTTGTTGAAGGATCGAGGGGAGGGGGTGAATGCATGCTGCAAACAGACAGTTAGAATATGTGTGTGTGTGCATTAGGCCCATGATGGGGAGGGCAGATCTCTGAGCACATCAGTTGTTGGTTTGGGATGCCTGTTAGCAGCTGTGACGGCAGCTGACTGGGTTCACTCAGGAGAGGAGATTGCCTGATTGCTCTGCTTACTATAAACAAAACCACTGTCTTTCTCAAGAAATCACATTCCCCTTCTCTAAATGAGTCCAACATTGCTTTCCTTGTTTTGAAATGTTTTATGCATGTTATCACCTAAAAGTTGAGGAAAAAATAACAAGGTTTGTTTTCTTTGGTTGAAGTTACCATTGTTTTTTTTCCCTGTGTGAAATACCTCCTCTGGAGTTTGGGTTTGGAGAGGGAAATGCCTCTTGGTTTGGGCCTCCTTAGCAATGACAGACTTATTAGTGTTTTATTACTGGTTTACATTGGAGACAGGCTTTTTTTCTGCTCATTTGACTTGAAGAAGAGGAATAACCAAGAGTTAAACATACAAGGCCGGGAATTTTTTGAATGCCTCTTATGAAACATTGTATGAAAATTATCCCCACATTGTTTTCTTTATGTGCACTTAAGGCTGGAAAAAAACTACACAACTTTTGCACCGATTAGCAAAAATTCTACAGAATAGATTTAAAGGGATAGTTAACCCAAAAATTTATATTCTGTCATTAATCACTCGCCCTCATGTTGTTCCAAACCCGTGAGATCTTCGTTCATCTTCGGAACATCATCTTCGTGGTACTCTTGTGAATGGCGGTGTGAATAAAGTCGTTGTTTTTGTTTTCTTTGCACACAAAAAGTAGGCTATTCTCATAGCTTCAAAACATGACGGTTGAACCACTGATGTCACATGGACTATTTTAATGATGTCCTTACTAACTTTCTGGGCCGTAAACGTTTAGTTGCGTTGCTGTCTATTCAAGGTCAGAAAGCTCTCGGATTTCACCAAAAATATCTTAATTTGTGTTCCGAAGATGACTGAAGGTCTTATGGGTCTAATTAATCAAAGGTCTAATTAATGATTTTTGGGTGAGCTGTCCCTTTAAATGAAAGTTCTGTGACACATATGTCAAATTCTAGTGAAATCTACAGAACTTTTGGTGGAATTGGTTCATAAAAGTGGATTGGTCATCACTTTAGCTGAGGGGATTCAGGTTATGGATATATTTTGCATTACAAGGTAGAGGTGAATGACCTCAAAGTGTCTGTGTGACTGATTCCAGGCTGTTTTTGTGCTTTGATCAAGTTTTTACACCAAAGAGCTGTTTTAAAGGCCTACCGGTGCCATTTTGTTTAATTACACCCTCACAATTTATCCAGCTGTTCTCATGGGATACGTGAGGTCAGCTGTGTAAATGTTGTTCCTATTGTCCATGGTCTTCAACAGGTTAGACAGGACCATGTGGCAAAACAACAGAATGCTGGTCACCGATGTTCTTTTTTGGACTTTCGAAGACACACCACCTGCCGCAACACATGTGCCTTTATTTTCTCTCGGCAGAAGTTCTCCTGGATCACTTTTTGATCTGCTTCACGAAGAGCTGTGTATTTAGTAAAGCATTACTAAAGGTCAACAGCATTAGGTCAACACGTAGGCGCCATGCCTGTTTTCACAGTTTCCATATCCATGGTGATGTATTAGTGTGTAAAAATGTGTTTATGTGGAAAGGACGTTGATAAATGAACTGCTCTGTCATTGTCCAGACTCGCTGTTTCTGTTGGGTTTCAGCGTTTATTTCTTTTTGACCTCATGCGTTCTGGTGGGGGAAGTCAGTTGCTGCCTTGCAAACGCTCCCAACGGCTGCCGTCTTGCAGCATTTGGCAACTTAGGCCACCACACATTTCTTTCTGTACTCTGAAATAAATTATTAGAGATATAAGACTGTCAATTAAAGTATCACGTTTTACATAAAGTTAGGTCAGAATCCATTAGACTGCTGTATGGTTTGACATGTTCCTGTAAGCAGTAACAGATTGTTCTTGTTTCAGGAATAAATGTAATGCAGTGACACGGATGCTCATGTCTAAGTGGCACTTATTGGCTTAAGTAAAAGACGTTTCCTGTCGTCACTGGCAGCAGTTGTATTTCTGATAATAAATACAAATAAAAAATAATAATCAGAAATACACATCATCTTAACATTGCTGGTAGGTTATCATTGCACAAATCAACACACTCTCTACGTTAAAAAAAAAAATTCTAAACTAATGCGCTGTCTTCACGGTACCTCACGCACACACGTTTAGTCAGATCACACTGCGCGCGTGCACAGACATTCTTTTTCGCGTTTAGACTGGTTTAGACAAACCTTTTAGCGCTGCCCCGCAATTTTATCAATAAAATAGCTTAATTGCTGAAGAGCTACATTATCTTTCTCAACAAGGAGCTGG